ATTTCCAGCAGAGCTGTTCATAAAACTTCAAAAGTAAAAGTGTTCTAATGCCTATCAACTGGGGAATGAAAAAGCACAATGTGGCGTATCCATACAATGGGATACCACCTGACAATAAAAAGGAACCAACTACTGAAACATGCTGAAATGTGATTCTCAAAAACGTTATGCTAAGTGAAAAAAACCAGACACAAAAGACCATATATTATATGATTTCAATTGTATATGTCCAGGAAAGGCAAATCTATACCAACAGAAAGTGGATTAGCAGTTGCCTGGGACTGGGAACCAGGACTGGCTGAAAACAGAAACTTGAGATCTCTTTGACGTGATGGAAATCTTCTAAAAATGGATTTGGTGATGGCTGTCCAACTATGTAAATATTTTAAAAATCACTGATTTTTTAAAAATGAGTGAACACTTAAAATGAACCAATGTATAATATGTAAACAACACTTCAATAAAGCCTTTTCAAAAAACAAGGTCAAACTAGCAAGTTCTTCAAGCATGAAAGCTACACACATATTTTGTAACACTGAATTTGCACAAGACAGAGAAGTGTGCTACGATACGATGCATTTGAAGGGGGCGTGAGTGAAAAGTCACTAAAGACAATGAGAAGCAAGTTACACCTTAACAACAAAATAAGGGTCCATATAATCAGGAAAATTCTTCCACCCTCAGAAAAGAGGGTCTTCACAATGTCTGCCTGATGGGGGGGTCTTAATGCTGTTGTTAAATGATGCCTCTTCTGTTTTCTCCTTCCTTATTCCAAATAGAAAAATTTATTCCACATTTTACTGCAGTTCATCTGATAATGAAGAGTGCCGATAACTCCTCTCCTTAAGTACACAGATTACAAGCTCTGAAAAGTCACATCTGCCTAAAGAAGAGGACTGGACATCCAGAGATCCTGGCCTTTGAGTAAACCGCAGTAACCGGACGGACCCTTGGCTAGGCTTTTTGAGGATGGATTGCATGAGTTATATACATGGGAAGAAGCTTTAAACTGATCTTTGGTTACCTCTAACAATATTTATTACTTTTTTTTTAATTTCTAGACAAAAAAGCTAAACATTTCCCAGCTCCCATTGTGTCTTGGTGAAACCACATGAATGAGAACTGGCCTATGTAGGCAGAAGTGGTAAGCACCATGCAGCCTCTGCCATAAAACATTTTTCTTTAGTGATCTTCACATTTTTTTCTTCCCCCCAAATTTTGGCTTAAATTAAGGGACATCTAGCGTATTGAAAAGCTACACAAGGGGAAGAGTCCAGATCAAAATCAGTGCTTGGAGGACATCCTCCAAGTGGAGCTTCTTGACAAGGAATCTTTGTGTGTGCATAAGAGGTACCTGCTAGCTTGCTCAACCACTAGGATTTGGTGTTTGTTTGAAAAAGTAGCTGGAATTAATCGACATATATTTATATATAACCTCTTAGGAATTGTGAAAAAGGAAAAAAAGTAAATTTATTAGACTAAAATCAATACTGTTTTCACTTCTTAATATCTGCTTTAATTGACTAGTGTCTTATGAGATGCAGGTGAGAAAAAGATGAAAAGAAAAATACTTTAAAAGTTCTCATTCTTGCCATGTTTTCTATGGACCAGAACTTATGTTCTATATATTTTTCTCTCTCATATGGTAGTTAGTAGCTTGATGTTTTACAGAATTTAGGGCCTTAATTATATATCTTAGAATCATCTTCTTCAGAGCAATGTACTCACCTGGGTACAATGATGTCTTCTGCCAGCCTGCAAGTAAACAAAATGAGAAAATATGATTATGCTTTCCTGGTCCTTCTCATATCTTTTCACCTCTCCTCACCATCATTCTCTAAGTATTCAGTTACTTATTTACCTCTCCATCCCTTTCCTTCCTCACAATAGTATGTCCATACCTTTAA